AATTCTCACTTTAAAAAAAAATATGTTAGGGTCTTTTGTTTTCCAGATAAAGAAAAAGTGGGTTTTTAATAATTTGGTCAAGGGCCTGCATAGCTAAAGGAGTGAGGAGGGGATTCTGAAGTCAGACTTTGGTGTGTGATTTCAGAGCTCAAGTGCTTAAACATACATTGCACCAAGCTTTTGTGCACTATTCTAGGAAAACAGCCACCTGTGCTTATTTTAGCAGGAAGTCCAAATAGCTGACTTAGAAACAAATTTTTTGAAGAAATGCCATTCATCTGTTGGGAAGCTGTCTTTGAACAACTGTAGGATCTCTGTAGTCTTAGATCTCGTATTTTAAATGCATTTTATTTTTAATCTATTTTATTACAAGTAGGCTGCTGCTTTTATAATACATCTTTGCTGTTTGCGTGAGACAGTATAATATATTTTATTAAAATCTTTCTAATAATTTCCAGAAAGCAAAGAAGCTGCAGTATCACATAGGCAATGAGAGCAGGGAGAACTCGTTGCTTCTCTTTGGAGCTAAGTTCCTGCAACTTAAAAAGTCCAACTTCTAGCTCTAATATTCAGCCGGAAAGTCTTATGAGTGTGCTCCATAGAATTGCAGGGGACTGGTTTTAAAGCCTGAGAAAGACACATTAAACTAGAATGTTGCTGTGCATTTTGTAAAGTGAGCAGCTATTTGTAAAGGTCTCCTTTTTTGAGGGTAGAACAAAAAACATATTTCAGCCAATGACTGAAGGCCTACTTAGATGAGTATGACACAGTCCTTTTTGGGAAAGACTAGACTAGTGAAAGCATTAGAAAGGTAAACAAATCGGTAGTATTCGGTGTGATGAATACTTACAGGCATTTAGAGAGGAGGTAACGAGCAGTTCCACGGGTTGAGGCAAGTAGGTGAATAGAGAAGTGTGGTCAAGAAAAACTTCACGGAGGAGGAGGAGAAACTTGTCCTGAGCCTTAAGGAGCTTGGCTTTGGGTGTGCACGTGGCGGGGACTCCAGGCAGACTGAGCAGTGTGTATAAAGCCACGGAAGTGTGAGTTAAACAAAAATAGATTAAAGAATGTCTTTTGGTGCCAGAGATGTATGAAGTATTCTTATTATATTTACCAGTGAGCCGTTAGGCAATTCAGATATTACCTTTGTTTAAAATTACGGAGAAATTAGTACTTAGCACTTCTGTGACTAAGTGTACTTCGTAAACGTTACTTGTTTCTTTGTGCTTTCTTTATTTTAACATCTTTAGTTCTTTTTTTATTTTGCATTAAAGCATTCAGTT